AGGATATAACATTAATACATAGAAATTTGTTGCATTTCTGTACACTAATAACAAACTATCTGAAACAGAAATTAAGAAAAACTATTCTATTTACAATTGTATCAAAAAGAATAAACTATCTAGGAATTAATATAACCAAGGAGTTAAAGACCTGTAATCTAAAACTGTGATACACTGATGAAGAAAATTGTGGGGCACCTGGGTGCTCAGTCAGTTAAGCATCTGACTTCAACTCAGGTCATGATCTCACAGCTCCTGATTTTGAGCCCTGCGTCAGGCTATAGGCTAACAGCTCAGAGCCTGCTTCAGATTCTGTGTCTTGCTCTCTCTCTGTCTCTCTCCTGCTCATGCTCTGTCTTCTCTGTCTCTCAAAAATGAATACAAATTTTAAAAAATTAAAGAAAGAAACTGAAAACAAATAGATGGAAAGATATATAATGTTCTTGAATTGGAAGAATTAATATTGGTAAAATGTCTGTACTACCCAAAGCAATCTACAGATTCAATGCAATCCCTATCAAAATATCAAGGGCATTTTTTACAGAAGTAGAACAAAGAATACTAAAATCTGTGTGGAACCACAAAGGACCCTGAATACACAAAGCAACCTTGAGAAATAAAATCAAAGCTGGAGGTATCACAACCATATTTCATACTATACTATAAACCTATAGCAATCAAACAGTATTGTACTGGCACAAAAACAGGCACACAGATCAATGGAACAGACTAGACAGACCAGAAATAAATCCATGCTTACATGGTCAATTAATCAATGACAGAGAAGGCAAGGATCTACAATGGGAAAAAAAAGAGTCTCTTAGTAAATGGTATTGGGAAAACTTAAAAGCCAGATGCAAAAGAATGAAACTGGATTACTTTCTTACACCATACACAAAGATAAACTCAAAATAGATTAAAGATCTAAATGTAAGACCTGAAACCTTAACTCCTAGAAGGAAACATAGGCAATGAATTCTTTGACATTGATCTTAGCAATTTTATTTTGGATCTGTCGCCTCAGACACAGGCAACAAAAAGCAAAATTAAAAAAAAAAATGAAACTATATTAAATTTAAAAAGTTTTTACACAGCAAAGAAAATGATCAACAAGACAAAAAGGCAACATGCTAAATGCAGACATCTGCAAATGATATATATAATAAGGGTTAATATCCATATATAAAAAGAACTCATACAACTCAATATTAATAAAACAATCTGATTTAAAAAATGGGCAGAGGACCTGAATAGACATTTTCCCAAAGACATACAGATGGCCAACAGGCACATGAAGAGATGTTCAACCTCACTAATCAGGGAAATGCAAGTCAAAACCACAAAGAGGTTTCACCTAATAGCTGTCAGAATGGCTATTAATGAAAAAACAAGAAGTAACAAATGTTAGTCAGGATGTGGAGAAAAGGAAACTCTTGTGCACTGTCTGTAGGAATGTAAACTGATACAGCAACTATGGAAAATAGTATGGAGGTTCCTTTAAAAATTAAAAATAGAACTAACATTCCATATGACCCAGTAATTCAATTCTAGTTATTTGTCCACAGAAAACAAAAGCACTAATTTGAAGTTACAGGCTCCTATGTTCATTACAGCATCTTTTACAATAGCCAAAATATGAAAGCAACCCAAGTGTCCATAGACAGACATATGGATAAAGAAGATGTGATGTGTATGTGTGTGTGCGTACACGTATGTAGGTATGTGTACACACATACAACAGTCATAAGAATGAAATCTTGAGATTTACGACAACATGGATAGACCTAAAGTGTATTATAGTAAGTGAAATAAATCAGACAGAAAAAGACAAATACCTTATGATTTCACTTACATGTGTAATCTAAGAAGCAAAACAGATAAACAAATAAAAAACAGAAATAGACTCAAATGCAGAGAATAAACTGATGGTTCCAAGAACAGAGGGAGGGTAGAGGGATGGAAGAAACAGGCGAGGGGGACTGAGAGGTACAATCTTCCAGCTCTAAAACAAATAATACACAGGGATGTGATGTACAGCACCAGGAATGCAGTCAACAACATTTTAAAACCTTTATATGGTGACAGATGGTAACTAGACTTATTTTAGTGATTATTTTGTAATGTATATAAATACCGAATCACTGTGTTTTATGCCTGAAACTAATACAATATTGTATGTCAATTAAACCTCAATGAAAAAAATGAGCTGTTCTAGTTTACTCAAAATTCTAGTGGAAAACGATTTTGAAAGATCAACTTTTAAATAGGAAAAATTCAGTTAGTAAACAGAACTAATTAAACAAATTATTTTATAATAATAGTAAACATTTCTATATTACTGCTTATATGCAAGACACGGTTCTACATGCCCTACAAACATTTAAACGATTGCAATCTCAATAATTCAAAAGATATCTTCAAGTACTAAAGCATCATATGGATTTAGGATAAATATCAGCTGCTAGTATATGAACAAATAAGGATTTTAGAGTGCCAGAGTTTAGGACATATCAGAGCTTAATATGAATATAAAATAGCCAATTGAAAATAAAATTTTTAATGTTTATTTATCTCTGAGGGAGAGTCAGTTTGAGCAGGGGAGGGGCAGAGAGAGAGGGAGACACAGAATCTGAAGCAGGCTCCAGGCTCTAAGCTGCCAGCAGAGTCTGATGCAGGGCTCGAACTCACAACCTGCAAGATCATGATCTGAGCTGAAGTTGGATGCCCAACAAACTGAGCCATCCAGGTGCCCCTAAAATAGCCAATTTTAAGATCAGATTTATTATTCTCTTTTCTCCAAATTCATAAAAACACACCAAAGCTAATAAGTTATGAAATACTGCCCAAATATAAGTTCTGGTTTACTAGGTAAAATCTTCTGCTTTCTTGAGGCATCTAAGTAGCTCAGTCAGTTAGGTGTCTGACTCCTGATTTTGGCTTAGGTCGTGTTCTCGTGGTCATGGGATTGAGTCCTGTACCAGGCTCTGTGCTGAATGTGGAGCCTGCTTGGGATTCTCTCTCTCCCCCTCTGTCTGCCCTCCCCCACTTGTGAACTGGTACACTCTTTCTCAAAATAAATAAATAAACATTAAAAAAAAAGTTACGCTTTTAAAGTTTGTTAGTTTGTCCATAAATATTATTCTAGAGCCATTCCTAAAGACATCACATTCAAAACATCAACAAAAAGCCAAATAAATCTTCTGTGTACTCCATATAGTTTTATAAATGGAAAGGTTATACATAGTAAAAGATTTTAAGATTATAACAGCACTCCAATAAAAACAGCTGATTTAGAAATTTATTTTATATTAAAATGCTCAGATTTAGGGGCGCCTGGGTGGCTTAGTCGGTTAAGCGTCCGACTTTCACTTAGGTCATGATCTCGCGGTTCGTGGGTTCGAGCCCCGTGTCGGGCTCTGTGCTGACTGCCAGCTCAGAGCCTGGAGCCTGTTTCAGAGTCTGTCACTCCCTCTCTCTCTGACCCTCCCTTGTTCATGCTGTCTCTTTCCTAGAAATAAATAAATAAAACATTTAAAAAAAATGCTCAGATTTAGATATACTTTCACATAACAGAAAAGATTTCTCTAATATTATATCTATTTTTTCTAATATTACATTAACTAATGCATCAAGTTTATAAAGTTGATTTGAATTCAGAAGTTTAATAATTTGAGCCATTCTAAAAGATTCTGGTCATAGGTTAATTATATGAAGACTTGCTTTCAATTTTTAGTTTCATGTAATTGCTTAATTCAAAAACAAATCTGCAAGTCTTCATTTAACACAATTAAAAGCTCCATTGAGTTATTTTCTAAGTTTAATAGTATACGAAAGGTATATGTACTTGATGTACTATTCTACTTACTTTTCTGTCTGAAATTATTTTCAAAATATAAAGTTCTTAAAAAAGGTAACCATTTTGTTTACTCTATATGTAGTCAAACCACTGAAAATCTAGGATGTTCAATGAGACAATGGTATTTACCTTAATAATACTCATCAGTGATTTTCCTATTAACTAGGCTATTAAAAGTAAATATACTTTTCTACTGATAAATTAAAGACAAATCATTTTCTCTCTTCCCCTTCCTCCAACACACCTAAACCAGAACATATAGATTTTTAACATATGGATTTTATGAACTTGGGAGTATAACTTTGGAGTTACGTTCAATAGTTTCTTTTGTTTTTAACATTTATCAATTTTTTTGAGAAACAGAGTGCAAGTAGGGGAGGGGCAGAGAGAGAGGGAGACACAGAATCCGAAGCAGGCTCCAGGCTCTGAGCTGCCAGCACAGAACCCGATGCAAGGTGCGAACCCATGAACCGCGAGATCATGGCCTAAACTGAAGTTGGACACTTCACCAGCTGAGCCACTCAGGTGCCCCTCAGTAAGTTCTTTGAAAGTAAAATATCTTTCTACTTTATGACTACCAATTCCACTTCAAGAGAAAATTTATCCAAGACAAATAAAAACGTATGCCCAAAAGACTTTATAAAAAAAGTTCGTAGCAGCTTCATTCATGATAGCTCCAAAAGGGAAACAACCTCAATGCCCATTGACAGGTGAATGAATAAACAAACTGTGGTACATTCCTACCCAGCAACAGTAAGGAATGAACTACTGATACAACAACAAAATAGATGAAAATATAATGCTGCGTTAAAGAAGCTAGACACAAAAAAGTACATACTGTAGAATTCCATTTATTTTCAATCCAGGAAGAGCAAAGCTAAACTATGGTGACAGAAATGGGAAAATGTTTGCCTCTTGAGGAGCAGTGGTTGAGACGGACAAAAGGGGTATAAGGAAACTCTGGAGAGTGATTAAACTGCTGTATTATCTTGTTTTAGTATCTGTAATAATTGTATGTTATAAAAATAATGCATGAACTATAGTTCACTTAAAATAAGTATACTTCTTTTAAAAATATTTTCTAATATCAAAAGTAACAGGAACAAAAATCATTCTAACATTTCCAGATCAGCACGATGCTTACCTGTCTAAGAGCTGATCATGTTTTTCTAAAGCATTCTTTTCAGCCATCACTGCTCGGTCCTTTTCAGCCACAGCATTATCCCTTGCTTCTCGGAGATTTCTAAAATTTAAGCATACACTCAATTATTCCAAACATGTAAGTATCCATCTTCAAAGGATTCATAAATGTACTTGCTTAAAGTGGACTATCTGACAATCTTAAGGACCCGCTTCAGGTTGGTGACCCAAGGTGTATATTAAATGAATTTACCTGGCTTGGTGTTTCTGTAACAGCACATAGTAGTGCAGGTGCAAACATGGTCTACCTCTAAATGTCCCAGGATCTTTCTTTGTAACTTATCTCCATGCGGGCTGAAGGAAGGCTAAACAGTTTGTATATATGAGTTGTTTGATCCTTACCATAATCTAACGAGGTAAGTATAATTACTCACACAGTATCCACAAGAAAATTGAGGTCTTAAGAAGTTAATAAATATTATATAAAATATTTTAAATGAAAAATATAACATAGAGATCACAACTGTCAAAATGGGAACAAAGTCTGGGATATGAGCAAGATGAAGTGATGGCCTTTGGGATCTCACAGAGGAATGGAAGAGAAGAGAACTCAGAGGGCTGATAGGTTAGGACAAAGCAGAAGGGACAAAAGACATGTAGTCCTAATAAGATGACAAACATAAATTTAAGTAGTTTACAGATAGGATAAAAGACTAGAGATTGCTATCAAAAAATGGTGATTTAGAGGTAGAATAGTACTTTCAGGAATATAATTTTAGTTGATACCAAGGTGCAGGGTGTGACCGCTGAGGTAGCTAAGTGAAGCTAAATCAATATTCATGTAGGGCTCAAGAAAGTATGAAGCCAGAGTGTTACATAAGTCACCCACTAATAGTACTGATGATAGCAGGAACTGAAATTGAGACAATGATGTATCTAATAACAGTTAAGGGTAATGTCTAAAAGGCTGAAGGTAAGAAGAGTGAATAATTAGGTGATGACACAGCAAGATATGAGACTTTAAAGATCAAACCTTGTTTTTTTCTTAATCAAAGTGGAAGTCTGGATCAAGAAAAATACCAACAGGAAGCTTTTTTTTAGAGATCCACTTAGTTTTTTTAAATCCACTTCTCTAACATAGTTATAAATAGAATAGAATGTAAATGATTTTGCTCACATAATTCCTACAAATCCCTTATGCTGTATTTTCTATAGTGAAGTAAACTTTAAGTTCAAGAGCTTAAAGGACCTAGTTCAAAGTCACAGCCTATGTTAAAGCTGTAGTTTGTGCCCAACTATGTCTTTCTGCAAACCAAGTGTTTTTTTTTAATATAATTTATTGTCAAGTTGACTAAAGCAAGTATTTTTTACACCATATTACCATATGTCCCCTAAGACCTGGTTTGGGTATTAGAGTGTTGAGTTTATTTTTCATGGGGAATATCAGTAGAAAGTCATGGAAATCCACATTATTTGAATAAATCTATGTAATAACTATTGGACAGAAATACTTGCTCTGACAGTATGAAATGTCATCTTTTATATTGTGATACAAAAAAGTTAAAATTTAAAACATATCAACCAATAGAGATTCATCAATCCAAATGGTTTATGAGCCAGAAATAAGTAGCTTACAAAAACTGTAGTACAGATAACTTATTAAGAAGAAAAAAGCATTTATATATTATTATCTAAGTGGAAGTGTATTTTAAAATAGATATCACAAAATGTCATGTCATTATGTTTGATATCATCCTGATTGCAATGACCTTCAAAAATATTCTATCATCAAACAGAAACATGAAATTTAATTTTATAGATAGAATTAAATTCTTTAAGTATATTAAACAATTATATATTTTTCATTCCTAGATGATCTACATATTTCCGTCAGTAAATCATCACAAATTGGTTGCAATTTCCATTTCTCAAAGATAGCTTCATTGTTCTATAAGTTATTTCAATAGCAAAATTCCACGCAGATTGCCATTATGGTATCATTAATCATGAACACTTAGTAGGTACAGAGGCTTCAGTCCCTAACTATATTTTCTTTCCTGCAATAATGGGCATTAGAAATAAAAGCAAGTCACAGAAAATGAAATAAAACCCACAACACTAACAATAGGGCTTGTGAGCAGAGGTATGATTAGAAGATGCTAGTGCATTCACCATGCTACCATCTATATCATCCACCTAACTATAATTAGTGCTGTATAAAGGCATAAACAAAATTCCAAGGCCACAAAGAAGGGTTTGATTACTTTTTAACTGGAGGAAGAGAGGTGAGTGTATGAAGGGAAGATATGTAAGTTGGACCTTGAAGGACAAATAAGGCAATTCAAAAAAAGAAAACTTGGGCCACCTGGGTGCCTCTGTTGAGCGTCTGACTTTGGCTCAGGTCATAGTATCACAGTTTGTGAGTTCGAGCCCCACATGGGGCTTTCTGCTATCAGCACAGAGCCCACTTCCAATCCTCTGTCTCCCTCTCTCTCTCTCTGCCCCTCCCCTGCTTGCTCTCTCTCAAAAATAATAAACATTAGAAAAAAGAAACCCAAAAAAGAAAACTAAAATGAATCTGAAAAAGTGCTAGAGGCTGAGGTTTCTACCAACAGGTCCTCTCCTAGATTTCTGCTGGTAAGATTTCTGTGTGAACCTAATCTATCAGTTACCTTACCATCCCTTCCCCTTCTCCACCCACACAACCTGCATACAAGAAGGCACACAGTTCCTTTTAACATAAAGATAAAGATACAGTACTTCCTTTAATATTATCAATTGACCTTTAAGGTTTCTGAGATAAATTGAATGTACTCCACCGACAATCACAGTAATAACAAACATATAGACTGCTTACAATGTGCTAGGAACTATTTTAGGCATTTTACATACTATAACTCTTCACAACAACTCCACAAATGCAGGCTGTCTCATTATCTCCATTTTACAAAGGAGAAGACTGAGACACAGAGAAGTCGTTATCTAAGGTCACACAGCAAGGAAGCGATGGAGCCCAAATGTAAACCCGAGCTCTTCGGTTCTAGAGTGTGTGCTCCTCATCACATCACACTGCCTTTCCTAAGATTCCCTTTGTGTCACAAAAGTTGTCTCCTTGGGAAATTCTGTCATTTAAAATTTATATGGTCATCTTGTAGCACACATGTCAAATTAAAAATAAGCCTTGTAAGGATTGTGACTATATTATATAAAGAGTTGTTTTTACAGTCCATGCTCCTTCAGTCTTACGGTGGTTTGGTAAAACACTAGATAGATTGATTGTATTTTGGCCACAGATAAAACCATAACTGCCATGTAGCTAATAAACATCCATTTAAAAATATTAGATGCATTTGAAACAAAACAACATACAGTTCTGGAAGAGCAAGAATTCTAATGTTCTTCAAAAGACAAACTGGAAAAACTGTTAGAGACTATCTGTAGCATGTATAAGCTAATGAAGTTAAAATTTTAAAAGTCCAAATGAATATATAATCAAATGTAATTAATTATAATAAAGAACGATGTTGGGAGTTGCCAACTGGCCAGAATTAGAATGTTTTAAATACAAAATAAAAATATTTCATCCTTTAAAATGCTTTTAGAAAGCTAACATTTGATTTCAAACTGTTTTTCATGATTTTCTCATGCTGTATCCTACTAAGTCCATCTCTCATACGCACATACTTAGCTCTCCCATCCATCCTTTCTTTTTTACATGTGGGAGGTGGAAAGGAAACATGGTAGAAAAGAGAAAAAAGAAATCTGATCAATCTTATGTAAAGTGCAAAAGTAAAGTGAGTGCCCTAGTACATATTGTAACTAGTGTCCAAACAATGTATTTTTCAACTTGAGGCATTTTTAAGAGCGAAAGATAATAATTATGCCAAAAATATAAGCATAAACCAGGAATTACAGGGACAAACAACTGGGAGATATCATTATTTAAATTATAACCTTCAAATAGAAATTTGAAGAGTTAAGTTCTTCATTATTTCTCTAAATAAAATATTGTAATATTTTAATATTACAATAAAACAGATGTATTTCATATGCAAATTAGTGTTTCATGACTTCAGGTATGTAAAGTTTATCCAGAAGTATCTCACACCCAAAACCTGAAATCTCAGTACAAAATGTAACAACAGATTTCTGTACATGGAACATACTTTCCTATACTAGAAGATACATTTCATGGTACTAATATGACAAATCTAAATTTATACTTGAAAAGTTTGGCAAGAACAAGTTTTACAAGAATGGGAAAAACCTTAGGAAGTTTTGAAATCCTAGTAGGACAAATCAGAGTTTGGGAATGCCAAGGGCATGCTTAGCCTGAATAAACTCCACTAATGTCTCAGAACTTGAAATTTACCAAGAATAAATAGTGAAAAAAGCATGGGTGTCAGAAGAGCTCCCCAGGCACAACTAAGCAACCCATTCTCCTGCTTCCACATACAAATATTTTTGGTTAATAACAGTGAATACATTTTTTTTCCAGTTGGAACAAAAAGGGGACTGAAACGGGCTGTTTATAGGGAAAATGTCTGAATTAATCACTTCTACCTCTTCCTGGACAACACTAAAACCGATCATTTCCATATGTGAAGCCATTGTTTTTAAAATGGCATAATTGAGAAGGGTGGCAAGTGGATTACCTGCTGTTTATAATCAAATGACCAATAATTGTTCCTTTAATTAACATAGTTGTTGAAAAGTAATGAATAGGAAGGACATAAAAAAAGCAGAGTGGAAATTTTATGTATCACAATTTCTTGGGTGAAGCTATGCGTTTCCAGAGGAGAAATTTTTTGAGATTCCTTTTGACTGAACATACTGTATTTTCCTATCCTTTTATTTCAGTTGGTGCTCAAGCACTTTTTTTTTTTAATTTTATAGATTTTTCTCTGTTGCATCACAGATGTCACTCCCTGCAGACCCTAAGTGCAAGAAGGGCATTAAACTGTTGAAGCCCCTCCAGCATTATCCCTGTTTCTGCAGGATACCCTTATATATATTGTCATTCTCTTTTTATACAAGAAAACATCTTGAGACGTTTAACCCTAATTATTATTCTCTAAATGAATATCTTCGTAAGTAAAAAAA